AATCATCCATGAGAGCATTCATCCCATCCATGCCATCATCGTCATTCGCGAACTCTTTATCCAGCTCCGAAGCAAGACCTGAAGCAAGTCGATCCAAGTCCACATCTGACCTCTTAATTTGCTCCGGCATCGTAGCGTTGATCGATTCCACGAGGTCACTGCTAGGTGTGCAATCCTTGTAGTACTTGGTGACATTGGGCGGATGGGAGAGAAGAAGAGCGAGACGTGCGTGGTCTGCGCTGCTCTTCATGGCTCCGGTACGATAAGTCCCTGCATTGGAATCCATGGCTGAAATTGCTTTGAGTCGGCTTGTGACGTGACCCAGGTGCGGGGTGGGTTGGGGACCGGCTGTCAGAGCGCTTCCGAGCTCCGACAGCCACTCGATCCCGCATACGTATGCGTTTAACACAACGCCGGAATGATATATATCACGAATAACTAGAGTTAAGATTTAAAATAAGGGGGGTCGACGATGGGCCCCTACTTCGACGACGCCTCACAGAGCGACGGCAGAGAGAAAACATGACCAGCAGAATGCAGGAGGCGGAAGGGTGACTCCACTCAGAGTAGACCGCTCGAGGCTGCGTCGCACCGGCCTCGGGCTGCGCCCTCGGACGGTACTCCTTGCCCCTCGGGTCTACTCTTCACTGGGAAAGCGCCACGTGCGTCTATGCGCTCCTCGCTGCGTGCGTCGTGTTCGTGCTCGAGCTCGGCGCGACGTCGAGCGCGTTCCTGGGGAAGGTCAATTCGTCGCTCCCGTTTTCTGTCGTGATGTTCAGGCGCATGATTACCCAGGAGGTGTTTTTCTCCGAAAGTGTCGCGAAGGCGCTCCTCTACGTCGCGCTCGTCCCTTCCATGTTCGCGCGATGGTCCGTGCTCGTCTGGCCGGGCGTCCACCTCCTCGCCGTCGCCGCGCTCTACGTCGGCGACGCGCTCCTGCCGCCGCGGGCCGCGCCGGACTTTGGCGTCTACGCCCCCGTGCCCTCCGAGACGACCTTCTGAGCAATCGAGGCGCTCCGAGGTCGGCCCGAGGCTCGCGCGCGCCCACCGGCCGGTTCCGTCGACCTGAGCCCCGCGCCGCCGCGGACTAAGCTCCCCTCGCGCCCACCGGCCGGTGCCGTCGACCTTAGCCCGCGCGCGTGCGGCGCGCCCTGACAAGCGGCGTACCATAGTGCCGGGCGTGTTTAGGGGAGGCGCGTCAGGTGCCAGCGGCGGACGTGCACGAGGCACCCTTCATCTACGCAGGCTACTGCCGCGCAGGCGGTGTCGCCGTCGCCGCCGCGGTAGAGCTCGGAGACGGCCTCGAGGGCGCACGCGCCGCCGCCGTCGTCGCGCCCGGCGTCCGGGCCTTGTGGCGCCGGAGCTTCGGGAGCGCGAGGCCGACGGCGTAGAGGTCCGCGAGCCAGAGCTGGGCGTAGGCGACGTCGTCGAGGGCGACGAGGCCGTGCTCGTAGAGGGCGACGTAGGCGTCCTCGACCGCGCGCGCGACGGAGCCGCCCGGCCGGTGCGGCGCGACGCCGTCGAGCACGCGGACGACGGCGTCGGCCTTCTCGTACAAGGGCCGCTCGCTCATGTAGTCGGCGAGGGCGTCGTGGTCGTTGCGGAGCTGGGTCACGCCCGGCGGCAGGAACGCGAGCCGGAGCCCCGCGGCCCGGAGCACGCGCTGCGCGACGAAGCCGCGCCAGATGTCGGCGACGCGGCCGTGGACGGACGCGGGCAGGAGCAGCGCCCAGAAGGCGGCCCGGTCGAACAAGGTCGCCTGGGCGTTGAAGGGGCAGACGGCGCCGCCGTCGAGGACGACGCCGCGGCCGTGGGACGAGGGGAAGTCGAAGGGCAGCGGCAGCGCCGCGCGGGGCCCGAGGCGGTAGATGGCGTCGACGTCCGGGTCGTGGTTCGCGAGGAGCTGGGCGACGACGACGTCGTCGGCCGCGCGCGGGTCGTCGGCCGCGGCCGCGGCCGCGGGGCCGTTGATCGCGTCCAACGGTAATCCCCGGGGCCACGCCTTCTCCGCGCCGAACGACGCCGCGTAGGCGTTGAAGAAGGCGCTCCCGGCGTCGGGCGCGTCGGGCGCCGCGAGGCGCGGGTCCGACGCCCGCGCCGCCGCACCGGCCGAGGCCGGCGGCGCGCCGAGGAGCACGTTGTCGTCGTCGAAGTCAAAGATCGTCGCCGCGCCCGCGTGGATGGCGTAGAGGTAGCCCAGGTTCTTGCGCGCGAAGTGGTCCCAGGGCGTCGCGCTCGCGAGGCCGTAGGGCAGGGTCTCCTGCGCCGCGGCGCTCAGGTACGCGACGGTCGCCGGCGCCGCGGCCGCGAGCGCCTCGTAAGGGCCGTCGGCGGTCTTCCGGTCGCCGACGACGACGAGGCACCAGCCCGACGCGTTGCCCACGCGCAGGATCGCCTCGCTCGGCGGATTGATCGTCGTCACGACGCCGCAGCGCTCGCAGGCCGACCAGGGCCGCGGCAGCGGCGACGCGCTCCGGTTCACCGTGTCGCCGAGGCGCGGCCCGGCGTAGGTCGCCACGCGCTGCGGTTTGTAGCGCTGACCGGACGTCGCGGCGCTCGACGCGCCGAGGTCGCGGCGCGGCCGCGCGCGCTGGGACGACGTCACCAGCCACAGGGCCGCGGCCGCGAACAGGCGCCGCGGGCAGCCCATTGTCGCCAAGGAGTAATAAATAGTATATATATATAGGATCAAAACCAAGAAGGACCTCACCAAGAGACCTTAATATCAATATGGACCCCGCCTTCCAAAATAATGTCGAAATGGACCTCACTTCAAAACAAAATATCAAAAGGGACCTCACCGTCCACCATTTTTGACCATCATTACCTGGAATTTAATGTCCCATCATATCGACGCGTCTTCCCATAATTAATACCAAGACGGACCTCACCTTCAAATTTTTGTTGTTTTTTCTTAGAGAAGGAGCGTGGTAGCGCACCACGTGCGTGGGGCCCCGCTTACATGGGGCGACACTCCCGTGGCCTGAGCTGCCTACTCTTCGTCGGAGTCGGGGTAAAGGCCGCTGGGCTTGAATTTGAAGTAGTCCTCGAGTGAGCTCGAGCTACAGGGTGGTAAACTGATTAAATCCTACTTGGGCGTACTCGGGGAGGTGTCGGGCGACTTCCCCTTGGCCCCCGGCGAGTTCCTGGCACCGACTTTCTGGGCCGACTTTCTGGGCCGGTCGGTCGCCGCCGCCGCCGCCGTCGCCGCCGCCGCCGCCGCCGCCGCGTCGTACGACCAACGGTCGTCGCAGGCCCAGCCAGGCCAAAATTTCCGATGTCGCGTTCCGCGACGAATGGGGTCGCTCCCCGTACACCTAAAGACAAATCCGACGTCCCGAATTCATTTTCGACGTCCTTTGGACCGTGTAAGACGACCTCGCGGAAGCGCGCGCGTGCGCGCGGGGCCGAAAATATAAAAAAATTTAAATAACGGCCGACGAGCTGCGGTACGGCCCCGGTACCGCCGCCTTTCCTGCCGGAGTGCCCCGGGACGTGCCCGGCCCCCGGGAAGTTAACCCAGGGGTGTCGGCGTGAACCTAGGGCTCAAAGTGGCGAGGTTTTCTTCAAAGTTTGTCGTCGCTTCGGCATCTTGATGGATTTTTAGCCATCTTTTTTCCAACGACGGGCTGCCTCGACACGCTGCGGCGCCCCTCGGTGGCCGAAAGCGCTGCGTCTTGCGCCTGTGCCACGCGCGCAAGCTGCCGCGTGGCTGTCCGATCCGCAGGCCATCGTGTGACGCCGCGAACACGGTTGCACGGGCCGCTCTGGGCGTCGAAACGGTCTCTCTGGGCACACGGTCGTCGGTGGCGCAGCTGTGCAGCGGCCTCGTGGGTGCGGCGCCGCGCCCAGAACGGTCGAGGCCCTTGGCATGATGTGTGGTCCCGAGCTCGAGTAGCACAACCGCCAACACGGGCCCGTGGCGGCGGCCATCCGGCTCCTTTACGGCGTGCTCGTCGAGGAGCAGCTCGAGCACCGCCAAGCTCATCGACGTCGTCGTGCGGGACCCCATCAAGCTGCCCGACGCGTCCGTGGGGTCGCCCGGGGGGCCGGTGCCGAAGGGCTACGGCAGCGGCCAGCCCTACGGCCGGCCCGGGCCCGACGACCATCCGCGACCACCGCGCGGCCGCGGCCGGCGACGACGACTCCGAGCACGAAACTCATACCACCCGTCCCACGCGCCTTCCGCACGCCTCCGGGGGGTTTAGGGAGCGTCCACGCGCCTCGGCGGGGCGTTAACCCACGCGTAAAGCGACATCGGCAATCTCGCCGATTATGGCCTGGCTGGGCCTGCGACGACCGCCAATCCCAGGTCAGGCATATGGCGTACTTAAACCCCTTTATTAGAGTGATGCATCAAGCGCTGATCAGCGCACTTTACTTGTAGAGAATCACTAGCTGCCAACGGGCAGAGGATCTGCCTCACTAGGTCCAGGAAGCCTGAGACTCTCCGTCTATTACAGTGCGGGAAGCAACTATAACAGGGTTAGAAAGTATTAAGAAGGGGGAAGGATATTGAGTGGCTCTGTACCAGCGAGCCACTGGCACTAGGGAGATACAAAACTCTCTATCTCTCTAGGTAGTTTGGCAAATAGGGGGAGCTCAGGAGGAAAATTCTGCTATATCCGCGCGCGTAGCACGAAGGACGATGTGCGCCAGGAGGTTCTTGCAAAGGCAGAAGGCCATCGTCAGCAGATGCTTGAAGCGTTTTTGTGCTGGGATATCATAGCCTGGCAAGTTGAATGTAACATATCCCGCCGGCGGGATATGTTAAAGAACGAACATTCGAGAGGCCGTGGCGCCAGGCGAGGCGGATAGGCTGTGGAATCTGGTGAGCCTCAGTCATAGCCTGCTGGTTACTCCCCGTTAGTAGATTTACAAAAAAATCAACGCCCATATACTGGGTTATAACAACTAAGATTGTTTAGTTGATTAGTTGTGTAAAATAGCACAAAAATGGCGTTTTTTTCTTCGGGGGGCATAACCCCGCTATCCCATTTGAATCTCCCCACCTTAATCCCCCCCGCACGTGGATAAACTAGGCGGGGGGATTAAGGTGGGGAGATTCAAATGGGATAGCCCCGCTAGAGCGGCTGCGTCTCTTCAAGATTTCTTGGCGACGTGGCCTCGAGCCCCCCCGCCAGGC